ACTTTATTTTCTAAGAGGGGAAGGGTATTTACATATCCTTTAAAGCGGTATGTCAAATAGAATATTCCTTAATACAAAAATGATACGTTTCAAAAATTTATAATAACAGAAATTACTTTACTTTCTTAGAATTAAATAAATTATGTAATATTCGGATTGATTTAGAGACTTATGCTTTAACTTGTTTAAAATTTAATTTTCAATTCTTATCTTACAATTTATGTAGTTTGATTAAAACATAAATATTTGAAAATTTAATTTGAATTTATCATTAAGGTACACTTGGAAAGTAAAGGGCAGTGAAAATATTTGCATTCAGAACGTTGAAGAGCAAATTTCAATGTCAACCACACACAATTTAAAAAGAAGTAAAATCATTTAAAGAAATATTCGTTTATTTTAGTTGAAACGAAATATTTTAAGGCATTAAAGTTTATCCATCTTTAAAATAAGTCAAGTTTAAGGAACTTACGTTTGATTGATGACTTTTGGAAAGAAAACTACTTTTGATCTTGGCTAAGTCAACAAGTTTTTTGCATAAAACTAACCCAAAAAGTAACAAGATGAAGTTTATTGAATATGCGTTATCTAGAGAAATTTAAACGATGGTATAGTTCTAAGTCATTTCTTAGTAAAATGAATTATTCCACTATATCAATTGTTTATTATAGTTTGAATATCATTCTTAACTTAAAATACTAATTTAAAAATATTAGTTTAATTAGTTACTATTACTGATTAAAAGTTTCTTTTTGTCATTTTTTAACACTATCTATCAGTTTGATTGCTAATGTTGTATTAGAGTTACACAAAGGGTTGTTTTGTGATAATCTAACAAGCATCCAGATTAATGATTCAAAAACAATAATGGTGCTTTCTTACTTTATATTGCCACAATTTTCGATCAGAGGGGATTCTGAACCACTAAAATACGATTGTATTAAATATAGTATGATTAGTTACTGGAAATTCCGGTATTGAAAATTAAAGTTTTATTACCACATATTTAGTAAAAATACAAAACAAAAAATAACTAAATAAATAAATGGTTTTTATGCTATGCTTCAAGGTATGACGATGAAGTTACTAAAATGTTCTTCATTCATTTTACTATTTATTTGAAAATTTCAAACTTTTGGTGTCTTCTCTTTATTCAGTTAACCATTCATACCAATATTGATACTTTTCTTATACCCCAGTTTTGTATTTATCTTTGTTATCTGGTTAAATAAATAATTACTAAAAAACATTTTTAAAACAGTTGATATGGTTTTTATATTTTCTGATCTTCTTAATATCATAAAAATTACGCATTGTTATGTATTCTTAGTAGCATAGGCCATGATACCTAAGGGAGTTTAAAGTTTTCTTGTTTGGTAAAATCTTTTTTCTCTTACGAAACTTCGTTTCTTAGGAATATAATTTGAAATTTTCAAATTGAAACTTCCTTGAGGTGTCTAAAATAATGCTTTTAATGAATCTGCATGCATGTATTATAAAGAGGCTCTTAAAAAATTACATCAAATACTCATCTGATGAATTGTTAGACGAAAAGAAGTTTGTGAAACTGCTTCAGGGTTTTGAATTAAGTTGTACGTCAAGTTGTTCGAAACTTTTTGTATTATACTGTATCAGCATTACTATTTTTTAAAACATCTAGCTCGTTCAGTGGTTGTTGTAAGTGCAAAAAAAGTCATTTTTATTCGACTTGATTTCTCGAAACAAAACATTTAACGCTTGAAATATTCCCGTGCTTTAAGTATGTAAAAAGATATTAAGTATTTAACAAAAAAGAAACATTTAAACTCTCATCTAATTATCATTAAATTGAACATAAACAAGAATTCTATCAACTGAAATAGTCCACAAGATTAAAAATTACAGAATGAAGTACAACAAAGCAAACTATTTGCATAAAAATTTTCTTTGAATTAATACATTTTAAGTAAAATACATTTAAAGTCTTATTAGGATTAATTTTGGCAAACTGTTTGAGTGGTAAGTAATGAATAAAAATTTAAATACCGTTACAAAAAATTAAATTTGAAAACTTTTTCTGACATGTGACACAATCATATCGTGTTTCACATGTAATAAATTTGATGAATAAAATTCTGCAAATTACACTGTAATAACAAGTCTGAATTATTAATCGGTAAATCTTTAAAATTGTAAAACATTTCAGATCAAATCACGATCAAAAGTACCGGCATTCTGGTTGCCGGTACCGAAAACCCTTTTTTTAACGGAACAAAAAGTATGGTGTACCGTAATCTTTACAGTAATAATTACATTAAAATAACTGAATCAATCTAATTAAATAAATATTATTGTATAAATTACGGCATAGTATTTCGCGGTGAAATGGATTTTATGAATAATGTGCACAAAATGTCTGTACTTTACTCAGGAATTTGATCTGGAATTTTTCACAGAGTAAATCATAATGGTTAAGATTATTGTCCTAAATATACAGCTAAAAACACCATCTTCTATAAATAATGCAAAAAGAATTGTGGGCGACATTGGAACAACCAACTGAATAGAAAACCATCACATCTGAAAGTTATCAGTGAAGGAAAATATTGAGAAAACAACAGGCTGCTAAAAATAATGTAGTAGTATTCTGCAAAACCCAGGTAGTAGCAGTCCTGAGCAGAAAAATCACGTTTGTTATTCAGTAAAGTTATTCTCTAACGTTACAATCTACAACAAGACTCATAAATTTAAGATGTCTTTATATTTAATATTTCTTAAATTAAAATTTGCTTGTTAATCAAGCATACAATAAGCACAGACAGAATATTATCAAAAATTAGAACAAAGCTGAAGTAATTAGAAAATTATTTTACTCATCTAGCATATGTATGTATATCTTATGAGAACATAATTACATATTTATGTAAATGTTATTAGAACATGATTACATATTTATGAAAATCTTATGAGTTCAATATACAACAAAAAACATACACGCATTTTATAACAGTTTATATGAGTAACTTGTCAATTAATACAACAAGGATATTATAATTACTTGGCAAATAATCAACCGCAATCAATATTTCATAAATCAATAAGAAATATTGAGACTTACTTGGTATTAAGAGATTATAATCCGTTTGCAAATTCATTTCGATGATAACAACTCATATTTCAACAGAAATCAATATGTAAACAAATTGCTGTCTTGGCCGCCATGTTTTTACATATCTTGAAATTCCGCAATTATTTGACTTTAAAGTTTTAATAATTTTTTAAGAGCATTTGTTATACGTTTAAAACAGGTTCTAACACCATTTCAAGAATTTAGTTAAATAGTTAAAATATACACTATTTATTCGTCTAATTGCCGGAAACCTAACCTTCTTCCCAAACGAGCAGCAGACTATTTTAAGTTTTATCGATTAATCATGTTAAGATTTAACTACACTCTTTGAAGCATGTAAGAATGCTCGACTCAGTATAAAGTGGATATATATATATATANTCATTTTTTATCAATTTTATCACACATTATAATATATATAAAGTGAGCACATTCATACAATTTTTAGAGTTTTTAAACACTAAATTCGAATAGGCATTATTCCACAAGTTTTATTGTATAAAGTTATCTTCAGTGTAAAATAAAAAAAGTTCATTTATTTGTTTTAATTAATTGAAATTTAAGTTGTATACACAAAATTGGACTAAAATTTCTCTACCCAGAAGTTTATTTCTACTGAGTTATTTTTTTTTACTAATTCCACACCAAAAAATGTATATTTACTGTTCTAGGAGTCACCTTATTTTACAGCAATAAGATCCGGAGTCAACAAGCAAGAGTTCATTATAATAGAAGACAAATATAATACTCAAAGGCAAAGTGTATGGCACATTTCACCATTATAAAGATTCATACGATTTGAAACTCATTTTCTAATGAAATTTTCTCTAGTGGATAATTTATAAATTGCAATATCTCAGCTTAACTGAAAAAAAACGAGCAATACGCATGACATATTTTAAAGATTTAAAAGTAACTAATATAAAAATAGAAGATACACTATGCAAATTTGCATTTTATTATTCATTAGTAATTTTTTTTTTAATATTTCGTCTTTTCTTTTTTTAACTGTTGTCATAATGTTTTATATATTTTTATTTAATTCTTTCAAATAATTAGTGTTTGTTTTTTTCGTCCTTAGCTAGGAAAATAGTATGACAAATACAAATTTTACTCCCTCACACAAAAACTTAATAATAATAACACTTACAATAATAAAACGTCAATGATAATAAATTTAATTTTTTTAAATACTTAAATATCATGTTTGAACATTGGAAACCTTTACTCTTTTGCTTATTTTCCAAAAATTATTGATTATTAGTTGAAATCGTTTATTTTGCTTAAATTGTATGCTAAAGATCATTGCTAAAAACTACGTTAATTATAAGTGAACTCAAACAAAAGTGTTTTATTATATAGTATTACCCAACTTTCTTAGATTTTCCTTTATATTATTAATAAATGTTTTTCATTTAATCACATTTTTTAAATCTCATTCATAAAAATATTATTATTATAATTTCGTTTTATTAAATATTCATGAGTATTGAATCAAATAATAGTAATTAGCAATACATTTATACTATTTTTGTGTAAAAGCTTACACATAATGTAACTGCAGTTTTAACATTTTCAAACAAGATGAAATAAATTACTATCGGCATTTTATACTCATATAATGTGAACTATAAATATAGACATAAAGATCTTTAGATCTTCTTAGATATTTTTTTTTCTAAATACCATTTCTAAATACCAAGACATCTATTAATAAATTTTACATTATGATTGTGACATTGTGTCACGTAATCACAAGTTTTTTAACTAGATCGTGGCCTAAAAATTAGGACGACCCCTGACCCCTCTCCTGTGACGCCTCACTGTCTGTCGACCTTCACGCCTGTGACCTTCGTCAGCCTTTGATGTAAACACATGGAAGGTGGTCCGTTTTGGTCACAGTTAGTGCATAATTATGATTTTATTTTTACCGGTTCATCAGTTCACTTCTGTTCCCGTTTTAGCCACGATTCTGCGGCATTTTAGGTACTTTAACTTCAATCTTCAACCTTTTTATATAAATACCGCCCATTTTTGGAGCATGTAGCATTCGAATTAAAGTACATCATCCAATATCCTACGATCCCTTAACAGGGATTTTTCATTTTTCTTTTTAACCCCCTCCTCTCTTTTGAGAGACGGAGTTTTAATTTTATCATGGCGTTATTTCACCGCCATTGCAACTATCTCAACAGGCTGCGAGAGTGATTTTTTGTGCTGAGGAATCTTTCAACAACTCAAGTTTGATCATGTCGTTTTCTAATGAGGTTCTACCAGATTTATGATTTTGGAATGAGCAAACTTCATTGCTCCTCGACTTAAATAGTATGCAATGTTCCTGTTTTTTTCTAAGTTGGTCATTTTGTATGACAACGCTCGCCATCCATCGCCTGCGCCTCAGCCTTTCTATTTCATGTTTGACCAATTTGGGCCGTCTCCAGATCCTCTACCTGTCACCATCGTAAAAAAAAAACTAATGGCTTACCATATGGGTACTGAATGCTGACCTGGATGTTTTTGGAATGCTCTTCGATGTTTTTTCCTGTGTCTATGTTAAGAATGGAACTCTCTGATACGTAGCAAAAATAAAGAGAATTCTTTTAGTGAACTTCTAAGTGTTTTTGTTGTGACTACTAAGGACTCTGTGAGAATTTGGATTTCTCTTTCCCCTTAGGAGTACCTCCATTTTATTGTGATTGTGCTCACCCACAGGTATGTTTTCTTATCACTGCAATTTCATGTAGTTTTTTTTAATTACAAGGTTCTAATTGCGGCACTTCATGTCTGCCACTATGACGTAACATCATGAGTCATCATTAATTTTTTTAAAAAAACCATACAGATTTGTTCGGCCATTATCTCTCTTAAATTTTTATTATCATTAATTTTTTATTTTTTATAACAGCACCAACCCAACATAACAATGATCTTGACTTTTTACTTAAATTAAACGAATAAACATTAGCATGTCGATCCCATACGAAGACTTTTCTCTATAAGATAAGCTAATTAAAGGTTGAACTAAAATATAGGTGATTCAAACTAAGTTTACATATATGATTGCCTCAGCTGCTTTGGAATTGTAAGTTGGGTACTCTTTTATTTAATCTAAGTAACCATGCATAACTGCGAAACTGATGGTAATATGATTAAACTTTTCAATAAGATACATAATGTAAGATATTTTATGTTTAAAATAATCAATCTAATGATGCATTTAAATAAAAAACCAATTAAATTTTATGCAATATACAGATAAGCAGTAATCATATTGTCGTATATTAGAAGCAAAAATGATTAAATGTCATGGTTATATCCTCTTATTTAACTCTTCAAAAGACAAATTAAGAAATTTAATGCTTACATTTTACCATGATATCGAAAAATTTGAAGCAAAGTAGGTTTAATTTTACTGTAGTAGCATTAAACACTGCAATAGAGTGTTAAGCTAAGCTATTTTTTGCTGAAATTAATCCATGGTATCGTGAAGTTCGATTCGAAACTAGTTAAACGTTGTGGTAAAACAATTCCACACTGTAATTGAGTATATATCTATTTTTTTTGTTTAAATTAATCCATGGTATCGTGTTGTTAGATGAATAACTGATTAAACATTATGGTAATGTGATTCAACGCTCATAGTAGAGTGTTAAAATAAGCTATTTTCTGTATAATGGTATCATTTATGTATGATATCATTTATTTAAATGCATAACTCATTAAATCTCATGTTAATATGTATATACTTTGCATTTTCTCAGATTACAATAAACTTGTATAATGATTTACAAAAACAAATGTTTTGAACTGTGATTTGATTTCGTCTTAGCAGCATCATTTATTAGTAAATTTTTATTTACTTTTTTTATATTTTTATACTTATTTTTTAAATGAAAAAAATCTAAATAAATCTTTGTTACCCGATATTTTTCTGCAAATAAGGATAGATAAATCTTTTTTTTTTGAGGATAGATAAATCTGTTTCCCGAATGCCTTTGTATCTTATCCTTTGTACTTACCAGAGTGCAAGAAAATTCCATTTAATTTTTAAATGTACGTATACACTATTATTTTTATAAGGAAACAGTTGTTACCAACAAAACACACTTTCATTGAAAATAATGATGTAATTGAACTTTTTAGAGTTTAGTATCAAAAGCCAATAAATGGAGTCTTTAGCATTAAGATACACAAAATATATATCTTGGATCTGATTTTACCCTGCGGGTAGTGTAACAATGAACAAATATTACTTGATAAGTCCAGTAGGAAAATTAAATTAAAATTATGTTTTCAGTCTTTCCAAACCCCTTTCAAACATTGCAATACGTTTCCCGGTGAAAAAATAAAGACTGTAAAATTACTGTACTGTATTATATGACATTTCTGACAAAAAAAGAAAGGAAAAAAAGATCGAAATATGTTTATGGTTAATAAAAGCAAAATATAGGTAATTAAACCATACAGTTCGTATTTTTTCGGTTCATTGGTAACGGTTCCTTGAAAATTCTGGTTTTCAAAATTATAGTTCTTTTTGCCACACATTTAGTAAAACATACAAAACTGAAAAGTAAATTTAACCGAATAAATAGGGATTTTTATGCCATGCTCTAAGGTATCATGACAAAATTTCCAAATTTTATTTCATTTTTTATAAATTTTTTCGCACATTATAAGGCCATATTTTATTTGAGAAGTAAATTTAACCGAATAAATGGGGATTTTTATGCCATGCTCTAAGGTATCATGACAAAATTTCCAAATTTTATTTCATTTTTTATCAATTTTATCACACATTATAAGGCCATATTTCATTTTTAGTTTTAGCAAAATTAATACCAAAGCGTATTGGTAAAAATTATTAAGCTTTCAGTGCTTCCACTGAGTCAGAAACATAGTAAACTTTAAAATATTTCGGTAGTTTCGGCCGTACTTTTGTCTTATTGTTAGTTCAAACGATAGGAGCAAAAATACCATTGAATAATAAATTTATTCAGATTTAGCATTATAATATTTTGAAAAGTGTTAACTATTAAGCAATATAAGTCAACAATTACTTGGCAAGTAAACCGTGTTAAGAGAAAGTTTCTTGAAAAATGGTATTATCAATATGTTTTTACTTTAGTGTTTCAAAAAAACATATAATTGTGTATATTTTACTTTTTTTCCAAGAAATTAACAAACATTGAGATTTATAAAGAGCCCCCATGCTTAGATAAATGTTTTTCTTGAATCCGTGCTTTGTAGACTGTAAAGCTCACGTGTTAAAAGAGTCTCATTTGAATTGATATATACTACGTTTAATAAGAGTGCTTTCACTTCATTTTACGTAAGTTTAATACCCATTATCACATCTTCCAGAAGGAAAAATGCTGGAAAGAGCTTACAGCACGAAAATTTTTCAAGTATTTTAAATAGCACACGCTATAAGAAAGCCTGATGAGACATCGTCACGAGAAAGAGAGTTTTAGAAACGTTTAATCTTCTACATTTTAAAAACAACAATTGTACAGAAATGCATGGGGTGTTGATTTGATTATTTTTTACCTTCCCAAGTCTTCTATTTGGATGTTAAAAAAGACACTATTATTATCATAAATACATGAATTAAATTTTTTGTGGGAAAAGCGAAACATTAATCTAGTTTTTCAAAGGAAAATACGAATTTAGGATGATATCGTAATTTGATTATTAATGCTTCATTTGTGTTTCTGACTGCTAAATTAGTTTCATGCAAAGACAGTCAAACGAAAAGAAACTTAATTAGAAAAATTTGAAGGGTTATAAAAATATACTTTCAGGTTATAAATATTTAATTTTTAATAAAAACAAACGTTCTGTAAAATATTGCTTTTGATTATGGTAGGTAGTAATGCTTACTAGACAAATCAAATTAATAAAGGAAAACAACAATCGTTTTTGCAGCTCTATAGGCATTGATTTCGCATCATCAAAGATTTATAAGGAAATTTTATGACGATAGGAAGCTAGGATTGTATTGTAATTTGATTAATAATTCTTTATTTATGTTTTTATTTGTTTAATTAGTTTCATAGATGCATAGATTCATTCATACATAGATAGCCAAAATAAAGATAATCTTATAATGGGAACTAGTTTATAAAAATGCACCTTTGGGTCATCATAAATAGATCATTTTGAATAAAAACATAGGTTGTAAAAAATACCGTTTTTGATCTTATGACTGGTAGGTAATGTTTGCGAGGTCAATCAAATTTTCAATGTAAAAATCAAATTAATGATGTACAAATAATGATGATAGTGCTAGTTTTTTTAATAATGATGTTAGTTTTGACAGCTCTACGCTCATTTGTGACTTGCTTTACTTCGTGGGTAACATATTTTCAATTATACTACTTACGTAAAAACATTTTTAGAAGAAACACTGATAATAAGAGTCAAATCATATATTCTATTAAATATTATCACCGTTGTATAACGGATTGTCAGCATTACGTATGTCCGAAGTTTTATTTTCATCTCCATAACAGTGAAATTTTAATATCAAGTCTGAAAATAGTGTTAGGTCACGAAAGAATTTCGGGACCTTTATAGATAACTTGAGCTTAGCTAAACAATATTTTATGTTGCATGTTGCATGAATTGAGTAACCAGGTATCTTTTAAATACAGCTTTTATAATAAAGGTTTAAAAATGCTGCTCTTTCGAAATTTTGAAACTCAGAAACTATTCGTCTGATTTCGGTTATATTATGTTTTTTGTCTTTTAAAATTGCATAGTTCAATTTGTATATTTAAAATTCCAATTTTTTTTTACTCCTAGGATAAAAAGAAACAAGAAGTAATAAATAATCAATAAAAATATATTTTGAATGGACATATCTTCGAATAAACTTTATAATGGTATGCCAAACCTTTCAGACTCGCTTGAGAAATTTTCGGGTCATGACTAATACAGAAAAAGAAAAATAAACATTAAGAGGCTCAAGCTTTTGAACCTTCTCCTGACTGAACTACTGAGGCAATATTTGTTTAGATTGCAGTTACCCCTTACATTTCGACAGTCAAGAATTCTAATAAGTCGTTAAAAAGACATGTTTATTCAGAGGAAGTAAATTTCTGTGTCTGATTCCGCATTTTTTTAATACATCGCGTTAATTAATTAAAGTATTCAAGGTTCCCTCTTTAAACCATTAAACATTTAGTTCATCAAAATCTGATCATTAGAACAAAAGTTATTTAGTGTGATATTTTTTATATTACGAACTCTATGCATTAAGATTAATACGTGACCCAACAAGTAATCACCGTATTCAATTTATTTCTACAAAAAAAATCTAAAAAAAAATAAACTGTGTTTTGACTTTGTTTTTAAATTATAAAAAATATAAGTAAAGTTATAAATAATACTCCTTAAATCGAAATATAACTTAAAACTTCAATTTAGATTCAACTCAAAAGTTCGGAGTAATATCTATCTTGAAGCGTAAATCATTTGAAAGTTGAGAATTAAAAATTAAAACTTATTTAATGAGAAGCCCCTAACTATCTCTAACAGATTTTAACTTACCCCATTATGAGCGGTCTCCATCAATCCCATTCTTACTTTTCCTAACGTATTGCGGTGTTGCTAAGGGATTTGGTAAGACTGAAACATAATCTCAACTTAATCCTCCCATTGCGATTGTAATTAGCTTTTCCTCATGGGTAGTCTTATGTCGTGTCAAAATT